GACATCAAGAAGGTTATTAATGAAAATCAGGAACAATGTAGAACCCAAGAGAGAGCCTTGGGGGAACACCTTTATTCATGATAAAGGAGCTAGAGGGAAACCCAGTTAGGACAATGTTCATTTCACGGTTTGACAGGAATGATTGTATTAAGTTAAATAATTGTCCTGTAATGCTGTATACCTGAATCTTATGAAGAAGGCTGGCATGCCAAACCCTATCATATGCTTTAAAGATATCTAGAGCTATGACTCGAGCTTCTCTGTTATTGCACATTGCTTGGTATACAAATTCAGTTATGGCTGTGAGCATGTCATATATCTCAGAACAGACTGAGCTTATCCAATAGTTGTTGCCTATTAGTTTTTATCTGCATTATTATAAAACCAAAGTTAACTGATATGTCAACTCTGCTTTCTAATGGAGGTTACATTGATGATGATGGTCACTGGAGAACTCTTCATCTAGGAAGGATAATTTAGCACTTGTCCTTATAAGTTTTCCATTTTCTTGTTTGATTCATTTAGCTTTCTCTCCTGCTTTCATCTCTTCTCTTTTCTTTTGTACATATTTACTCAGTTTAGCCTAGATTTGCACATGGCTACAAGAGGGACAAAAGATTGTGTTGCATTAATTTTCAAGTAGGAAGGGCTAATTGTTTTAATCAGCATTCTAAATCATGCATTTGATTTGACACCTGGTATCAATCAGTAATCTCTTTTATTCCAAATTGCATTATTCTTTTTGCTTGTTATGTTATTCTATCTTCCTTCAAAAGTAAAATCTATCTTTACCTATCAATCTTTCAAATTACTTTTATCCATCAAATTCTCAATTTACCTTTATCTAACAATCTCTCAAGTTACCTGTATCTATCAATTTTTCTAGCATTTTCTCTTTTTTTCCTCTTTAGAGAATGAAATTTAAATTTTCTTTTCACTTTTGGTATCACATTTTTACCAACTCTTTAACCTTTAATCTACAATGAAACAGTCAACTGTAGAGTTTTTACAGGTATTTGAATAATCATTTTCTAAAACAAAAATCTAGTCCATTGAATCCAGGTATTACTGTGTTTTGAATCCTAAATCATTTGTGTAAGATTCAGTGCAGATATGAAGAGGGCTGGAGAGCAGATCTGTCAAAATGTTATAAAAACAAAAAAGATAAAAAAAAAATTTCAAAAGATAACATTAAATTGTATATATTTATTTATAGAAAAATATGTTTCTTCCATTGGTCAAGTGAAGATAGTATTATTCATGGATAGCCATGTACATATCAGATAGGATTTTTTTATGAATGCCATATCAAATCTAAGAATTCTCTAAAAATATATCAACATTACACATTTTATTTCATAGGCTGAGATAAATTTATATCATTTTTGATTGCGATGTACATATCGGATACAATCGTTTAACAATACCACATCAAATCTAAAAATTCTCCATAAATATATCAACATTACACATTTTATTCGATGGGTTGAGATAAATTTTTATCATTCACTGATAGGCATATTTACAACCGATTAGATCTAAAGATTCTTATTCTTTGATAACCATGTTATATTATATTAACCATATTAGTGTCTGTCATGTATTCCTTCCTTGCCTGGTGTCTTGACTTGTCACTTTCCCACTGCTGTGATGTGGCTTCTCTCTGTTTTTTTTCTATAAATATTTTCATAGCAACTGTTCTAATGAGTTTTTCTCTTTGGTACCTTGATTGTATGAATTTAAGCCTACTACTAGATTGGCTACTTGGTCTCACTTTTTTAGTGTTGAACTAGCTAGATATAACCATATATTCTAATCTATTTTCTTTTCTAACCCTTCTCACCTGTGGAACTCTCTTCAAATTTCTTACTTCCCTGCCACCTATAAACTTCAACTATTTAAATGCAATGTCAGTTGTCATTTTCTGTCTTCCTGAATCCTGTTCTTTTATTGCCCTTTCTCCTCAGTCATTCTCTTTCACTCCCAGTAAACCCTTGCACATTATGGCATTGCTTGGGATGAAATGATTAAAAAAATTATATCTCTTCTAAAAAATTGGTATTGTTTTATTTTTACTTTCTGTTTTTGTTTACCTATCAATAGGGTTGCTAAGAATATTTTCAGTTTGTAGTTCTGCATTTTAGCCATTAGTATATCTGTGATATACTAATACCTTAATACAACAGATGGAAGGACTAGAATAGTCAAAAAGAAAGGAATGTAAAAATGTATTCTCAAAGATTTTTTATATTGCTATCTCATACAAGAAATTGGATACAAATATATATCTGTCAGTATTTGTCCCGCATGGAGAAATTATAACACATGTGAATACAACAAGCAGTATGAAAAGGTTGAAAATCATGAAGGTTGTGTAATATTTCCTGAAGGAAAAAAAAGCAGGCCAATGGTGTCCCCTATGTTCTTGATGGAACCACGTGGTTCTTTTTGCCCTACAACTTGTGATGACCTGTATTGTCCTAGTGTTCTACGTTGCAACTGTAGTTTGTCACCTCATGAACTGTCATCAATCATTGGCCATCAGGTGTCCCACATTAATTCATCTTATCCAAAGGGAGACAACCATCTCTACACTATTGTTAACTTTAAATGACTTCTTATACTATCACTTTTTCTACATCATTTATTAATCTTTAGTATTAGTTTCTTGTTTTAAATGTTTGCTTACCTAATATTACTCTCTCAGATTCAACTATTTTTCTATGGCCAATTATTTTACATCCTTTGTTCAGTTACTTTTTTCATCTCCTAATATATATATATATATATATATATATATATATATATAAACAGAGATAGAGAGAGTATGTGAACTAGAAAGAGATAGCTCAATATGGGCACATTTAAAACAGTATGGAATTGTATCAACCTGAATACACCACCTACATGTTGAGAACTTGAATGCAATAGATTTTTACCTACTGCAAATGCATTTAAAAGTGATTGTAGACCTTATTACAACAACAAAAAACAACCCTTAACAATATTAAATATGAACACAGCTACAGTGTATTGGTAGTATTTGTAAATTAAGAATATATTTACTTTCAGAAAAATTTTATGCTATCTACAACATCACTTACCAATTATTATAATCACATGACAAAAATAGTCCTTGAAAATGGCTAACAGTTTAACTGAAAGTGCTTGGGACTAACAAAATTGTTTTTTTTACAAAGAAATTTTGCATCATTAAGTTAAGAAAAAACCACTTGTCTGTATAATGGATAGACTAAATAAAAGTACTTTATCAGTCTTATTCAATGAAACATGTATTAAAGAGAGATTGCTACCCAAATACACAACTATATGCAAGCAGAGAGTTCGACAGACACCCGACCCGGTAGCTCACAAAGCACAGATACTACACTTTGATCCTAGCCACCGGGCCGAGCAGGTATTCTTTTTATGGATAGTATTTATCAATCCACCCACAGGGATCGAATGTGGCACAAGGCCTTTTTAATGTGGGTATGTCCGAGCCCATAGGCCCAGCCAAAAATAAAACCCATCCAAACCCGCCGAGGCGGGTCAGTTCCGTCAACCTCCCCCACCGAAACCTTACCCTTCGGCAGAGCTTCGTCAGGGTTCCTCTCTGCAAGCAGAGAGTTCGACAGACACCCGACCCGGCAGCTCACAAAGCGCAGATACTACATTTTGATCCTAGCCACCGGGCCGAGCGGGTATTCTTTTTATGGATGGTATTTATCAATCCACCCACGGGGATCGAATGTGGCACAAGGCCTTTTTAATGTGGGTATGTCCGAGCCCATAGGCCCAGCCAAAAATAAAACCCATCTAAACCCGTCCAGGCGGGTCAGTTCCGTCAACCTCCCCGAACGAAACCCCACCCTTCGGCGGAGCTTTGTCAGGGTTCCTCTCTGCAAGCAGCAGAGTTCGACAGACACCCGACCCGGCAGCTCACAAAGCGCAGATACTACACTTTGATCCTAGCCACCGGGCCGAGCGGGTATTTTTTTTTTATGGATGGTATTTATCAATTCACCCACCGGGAATTGAATGTGGCACAAGGCCTTTTTAATGTGGGTATGTCCGAGCCCATAGGCCCAGCCAAAAATAAAACCCATCTAAACCCGTCCAAGCGGGCTAGTTCCGTCAACCTCCCCGAACGAAACCCCACCCTTCGGCAGAGCTTCGTCAGGGTTCCTCTCTGCAAGCAGAGAGTTCGACAGACACCCGCCCGGCAGCTCACAAAGCGCAGATACTACACTTTGATCCTAGCCACCGGGCCGAGCGGGTATTCTTTTACAAATATTTAATAAATATAATAAAGGTTCAGGCTATTTACCAGCCTGAACGTATAGAAATTTATATAGGATCCGTCCTCCAAAAAGGCAGGCAGACATTCAGGCTAACAAAATGTTTAATACTGTTTAAATATAAACAGAGCATTTAATAAATATTTCTTTATAAAAAGAATGTTAAACATAAAATGTCTTAAAATATATATATAGTTTAATGGCATTTGATTTCATCGTGTAGGCGATCATGGCTTTCTGTATATTTTGAAATTCAGATCTCAACTTCAATTAGATTGGCTTCCACCCAAGGCTAGAGGGTAATTTACTAGTGGAACTTTCAAGTACTTTACCCAAGCGCATGTGTGCGAAAGTGAAATCTACCGAAATTTGAACTTTGCTAACCGATACGACTTTCCTTCATTATTGAATCAAGTCGCATCGTATTTTGTTTTTTTTTCTTATTGAACGGAAGATTTAAATTTCTACTTTATTTGTGTGTTTTTAGGCGAATTTTTATTAAGATTTTAATTATTCTTAAAGTTTAGATTTCTGCCTCAAAGCAAAATGTCATTAATAGCTTCGTTTTCAAAATTAATAACTTCGTTTCTTTCAGAACAATTCCTTAATTTAAGCGATCTTGTAACTTAGGGTCTTTTTTGCACTGCAATAATAGCGAGCCTTTTTGAACAGTTTTTTGTACAACTGTCAGAATTGAAGATGGTTCTTCCTTATTTCCGATGTTTTGTACTTCTTAATAAAGGTCTGTTTTTTCACCGTCACTTCCAGTCCCTGTTTCTTCTGTCATTCATTTACATGCTCTCGGTAGGCAGGCTCCTTTGCTTGCTCTCCTCAGGCAGGCAGGCAGGCTCCTTTGCTTGCTCTCCTCAGGCAGGCAGGCAGGCTCCTTTGCTTGCTCTCCTCAGGCAGGCAGGCAGGCTCCTTTGCTTGCTCTCCTCAGGCAGGCAGGCTCCTTTGCTTGCTCTCCTCAGGCAGGCAGGCTCCTTTGCTTGCTCTCCTCAGGCAGGCAGGCTCCTTTGCTTGCTCTCCTCAGGCAGGCAGGCAGGCTCCTTTGCTTGCTCTCCTCAGGCAGGCAGGCTCCTTTGCTTGGTCCTCTCCTCAGGCAGGCAGGCTCCTTTGCTTGATTCTCCTCAGGCAGGCAGGCAGGCTCTTTGCTTGAAGACTCTCCTCAGGCAGGCAGGCAGGCAGGCTCCTTTGCTTGCTCTCCTCAGGCAGGCAGGCAGGCTCCTTTGCTTGCTCTCCTCAGGCAGGCAGGCAGGCTCCTTTTTTTGCTCTCCCTCAGGCAGGCAGGCAGGCTCCTTTGCTTGCTCTCCTCAAGCAGGCAGGCAGGCTCATTTGCTTGCTCTCCTCAGGCAGGCAGGCAGGCTCCTTTGCTTGCTCTCCTCAGGCAGGCAGGCAGGCGTTTTGCTTGCTCTCCTCAGGCAGGCAGGCAGGCTCCTTTGCTTGCTCTCCTCAGGCAGGCAGGCAGGCTTCTTTGCTTGCTCTCCTCAGGCAGGCAGGCTCCTTTGCTTGCTCTCCTCAGGCAGGCAGGCTCCTTTGATATTGCTCTCCTCAGGCAGGCAGGCAGGCTCCTTTGCTCGCTCTCCTCAGGCAGGCAGGCAGGCTCCTTTGCTTGCTCTCCTCAGGCAGGCTCCTTTGATGGCTCTCCTCAGCCAGGCAGGCAGGCTCCTTTGCTTGCTCTCCTCAGGCAGGCAGGCAGGCTCCTTGGCTTGCTCTCATCAGGCAGGCAGGCTCCTTTGCTTGTTCTCTCCTCAGGTTTTTGCTCTTTTGCTTGCTCTCCTCAGGCAGGCAGGCAGGCTCCTTTGCTTGCTCTCCTCAGGCAGGCTCGTTTGCTTGCTCTCCTCAGGCAGGCAGGCAGGCTTGTTTGCTTGCTCTCCTCAGGCAGGCAGGCAGGCTTGTTTGCTTGCTCTCCTCAGGCAGGCAGGCAGGCTTGTTTGCTTGCTCTCCTCAGGCAGGCAGGCTGGCTCCTTTGCTTGCTCTCCTCAGGCAGGCAGGCAGGCTCCTTTGCTTGCTCTCCTCAGGCAGGCAGGCAGGCTCCTTTGCTTGCTCTCCTCAGACAGGCAGGCAGGCTCCTTTGCTTGCTCTCCTCAGGCAGGCAGGCAGGCAGGCTCTACTTTGCTTGCTCCCTCAGGCAGGCAGGCAGGCAGGCTCCTTTGCTTGCTCTCCCAGGCAGGCAGGCAGGCAGGCTCCTTTGCTTGCTCTCCTCAGGCAGGCAGGCAGGCTCCTTTGCTCTGCTCTCCTCAGGCAGGCAGGCAGGCAGGCTCCTTGCTTTGCTCCCTCAGGCAGGCAGGCAGGCAGGCTCCTTTGCTTGCTCTCCTCAGGCAGGCAGGCAGGCTCCTTTGCTTGCTCTCCTCAGGCAGGCAGGCTCCTGTGCTCGCTCTCCCAGGCAGGCAGGCAGGCTCCTTTGCTTGCTCTCCTCGGGCAGGCAGGCAGGCTCCTTTGCTTGCTCTCCTCAGGCAGGCAGGCAGGCCTTTGCTTGCTCTCCTCAGGCAGGCAGGCAGGCTCCTTTGCTCGCTCTCCTCAGGCAGGCAGGCTCCTTTGCTCGCTCCTCAGGCAGGCAGGCAGGCTCCTTTGCTTGCTCTCCTCAGGCAGGCAGGCAGGCTCCTTTGCTTGCTCTCCTCAGGCAGGCAGGCAGGCTCCTTGCTCGCTCTCCTCAGGCAGGCAGGCAGGCTCCTTTGCTCGCTCTCCTCAGGCAGGCAGGCAGGCTCCTTTGCTCGCTCTCCTCAGGCAGGCAGGCAGGCTCCTTTGCTCGCTCTCCTCAGGCAGGCAGGCTCCTTTTCTTGCTCTCCTCAGGCAGGCAGGCTCCTTTGCTTGCTCTCCTCAGGCAGGCAGGCTCCTTTGCTTGCTCTCCTCAGGCAGGCAGACGTATTTTGCTTGCTCTCCTCAGGCAGGCAGGCAGGCAGGCTCCCTTTGCTTGCTCTCCTCAGGCAGGCAGGCAGGCAGGCTTCTTTGCTTGCTCTCCTCAGGCAGGCAGGCAGGCAGGCAGGCTTTGTTTCTTTGCTTGCTCTCCTCAGGCAGGCAGGCTTCTTTGCTTGCTCTCCTCAGGCAGGCAGGCAGGCAGGCTTCTTTGCTTGCTCTCCTCATGCAGGCAGGCAGGCTTCTTTGCTTGCTCTCCTCTATCCGTTTTGCTTTAAAGGTTTATGGCCACATCACTTTGAAACAACAGTTCCCGTACGGTCAGTGAAGTTAACCAACGTCAAGCCTGGTCAGTATTAGATGGGTAAGCGCTTGGGAATGCCAAGTGCTGTATATTTGGATGTTCGAGTGGCGTAATGGATACTGACTCGGAATTGTTAATCGGAGAGCCGAGTTCCAATTCCAGTTGGGTTCGTTATATTCACTTACGCGCATATACCGTGGAGAAAGGTACGACAATACTTCTTTTCCCTCAACTATGGGTTAATTAGTAAGACTTGTATCACTAAACCATTCTCCACCCCACAAAAAAAATCATACAATCTAAAAATATTTCCTAACTTTAATGTGAAAAGGGTTGATAAACCATAGAAAACGATTCTACCAGTCACTCTTGCTTTAAATATCACGTGAGTGTCAAATTCTCCAAGCCTACTTTCCTTATTAGGCGTCTTGGAAAATTCAAATGTCTCTTTCTGATTGTAAGTATAGGCGTCCTTTTTGTTTTCATTTTCCTAAAAACTTCCTAGTTACTCTCATTCGGTACATAGTATTTAAATTCCGGAACATTCAGAATTGCGTAGATCAAATAATATTATGGATAAAAATCAATTAGTCTTCGACAAGAACACACGCATAAAAAGGATAACACTTAATTGTAAGTTTTGTTTCATTTTTATCTTTTGTTTTCTTTAATTATTTGATTATGGCAATATTTTTTTTAATGTTTTCTCGAGTGAAATCATGTTGTCGAAATTTTGTAATCACGCGAGAATACTCTTTCTCGGGAAATCATAAAATATTGGTATCTTAAACAAGATTAAAAAAAAAGAAACACTGCACTGTTCATGTATATTTTAAGTACGAACAAATCTCGTTTTGCATTTATTAATATTTACAATCGTAAAATTTGTATGACGACAAGAGTAATGCAAGAACTCTTTAAAAAAATAAAAAAGCTCGGGAGTTAGACCATATTTTATCTTGTGGATGTTGTCACAGTCAGCGACAATCGAAGTCATGCTTGTCGGTCGATAGAACTGTCTCTTGCAACCGGGTGCAGGATAATTCAACACTTCGACTGAACGCTTAGGACCACTTGTACCGGAGACCACTTCATTTAACCACTCTGTACCGGAGACCACTCTTTACCGCTCTGTACCACTCTGTACTGGAGACCTGTACCACTTGTTGAGACCACTCTGTACCACTCTGTACAGGAGACCACTCTGTACCACTCTGTAAAGGAGACCACCTAAACCACTCTGTACCGGAGACCACTCTGTACCACTCTGTACCGGAGACCACTCTGTACCACTCTGTACTGGAGACCCACCACTCTGTTTTAGAGACCAGGTGTAGGCTCTGTACTGAGACCACTCTGTACCGGAGACCACTCTGTACCGGAGACCACTCTGTACCACTCTGTACCGGAGACCACTCTGTACCACTCTGTACCGGAGACCACTCTGTACCACTCTGTACCGGAGACCACTCTGTACCACTCTGTACCGGAGACCACTCTGTACCACCTGTAACCTGAGACCACTCTGACCACTCTGTACCGGAGACCACTCTGTACCACTCTGTACCGGAGACCACTCTGGAGTAGAAAAACATAATTTTTCTCTCACGGCATAAAAGTAATTTATTAAGGATTAAAACCTTAATTAGTGAATATTTTTCTTCGAATAACGCATTTGAAGAGACATGTAAAATATGAACCAGTTTTTTTTTTGTTTTTAATTATTTTTAATAAAGTATATCGTAAAGAAATTTATTTGTTAATAAAGTAAATTGATATATAAAAATAAGAATTTCAATTTACTCTTCCAAAAGAAAATAAATTACATTACGGTTTACTTTATTTTGTTTTGATTTTGTTTTTAATTAAAACCAAATGTGTTTTTATTGAATTATTTATATAATATATGTGTGTGTGTCAATTTACTTTATTGTTGGTGCTGTGTTGCCCCTTCCCGCCTGCAACTTCCTTTCTTCAGAGAATTGAAGTTCGTCAAAAGGGCTGTCAGCTGTCAGTTCAAGCAATACAGGGACCATAACAGGGTTTATTCTTTCTTTTTTTCTTTACCGATAGTTCACTCAGTACAGGGCTCAATGACCACTGACGATAGAGGGTTATTGAGTGGAATTGTAAGGGAGCTGGGAGTAATAGTACTGTGAGAAAGAGTCGGATGTTAATCTTGAACTTAAAAAGACCAACATAGTTATCAGGAAAGCACTCTCTCGGGAGTTCCCAAAGTAATGGTTTTGGGGAAGAAACTGAGTGTTACTTGCTTTTTATCAAAGGGAATGGAGATGATTTCCTGGATCAATGAGAAAATTTGGCTGGTAATCGGGCCACGTGTCTGCATAGACGCTGTTCAAATCACAGAAGCAAAATTGATCTAGCAGGTAAAAGAACGCCTTAGTAGACGTTAAATCCAGAATCTTTTCTCTACTGTCGACCAACGTATTTTAGATGCCTTACTTGTAGAAAAAGTTCCGTTTCCGTGTTGGTTTAATCTTACACACGAGAAGCCACCCACCATGAAGCGAACCTCTCCGAAAAGACGTTCTAGAACAAAGCTGACAAAAGTTGCGGTCTAACCCCACAGCCGTGAAGACAGAATTCCTGGATTTTTTCTTTATCTATCTATCTATCTATCTAATATATATATATATATATATATATATATATATATAATGTGTGTGTGTGTATATATGAAAAACGCTTTTAAATGAACAAAAGTTAGGTATTCAGATTACGGCCAAAAAGGCTGTGACCCAACCACTGAGCCTCGACGACTGGAAAACATGAAAAACCACTCTAGGTGTCAGGTTAGTGACATTCATTTACAGAGGATACGGAAAACAAATCTGTCCTCTTGTGGTTTAATCGCTTTTTTTTTTTTTTTTTTTTGTTTTTTTTTTTTGTTTTCTTTCTTTTGTTGCTTTGATTTGTAGCTTTATTTTGCTTTGTTTCTTTGTTGCTTTCCACAGGAACGCTTTACAAAGACGTAATAGTTAATTACCTGTTTTACCGTTTATAAGTTCAATCTCCACTGAGTGTCCCACATTCTCTCACACCCTTGGCCTTAATCCAGTCTAAGATTTTTTTCTTTAAACTGATTGCGAAATAGAGACTAGCTATCTTGTCTACAAAGTATTGCGATTGTGAATTGCTTTGGATATCATCTAGGTGGCTTTATGACAGACTAAGCTTATTATTAATCGAAAACGCTACCAAGCAATTGATTTCCTTACTAATTTTAAGAGACACTCAAGATAGATCGGTACTATTTAGAATGAATGGTAAGAAGGGATGGAGGATAGATAATGGTTGACCCTTGATTTAAAGAGCTTAATTTAGTAGTTTTCAGAGTAACATCTACGCGGATTCTGTTCCATACAGTGTCCGTCCTTGGAAGATACCTGAGTAAAACTTTCTTAAGTTTGAAATACGGTGGGGTAGGGGATGATGGTGATTCGGCTCTGTGTAAGACTAAAGGAATTTATCACGAAATCCCTTGCCACTTAATTGTGAGTTCAATATCTGACTACAGAAGAGGTGAACAAAAATTTGGAGAGTTGAGTTATATATTCAATAAAATGTTATAATTATCTTATTATCGGGATTGAAAAGTAACGACTAGGTTCTCCTGCTTGTACTGTCCCCTCAAGGCACTTGATTTAGGCTTCCATGTTGAATCTGAGGCCCTGTGAGAAGATGAATGTAGGCGTAACTGACTGGTGGTTACAATTACGTCTGTGACTATTATCTTAGCCTGGACATTAAAGACGAATATTTCGTGTTTCAAGACGAATTTAATTGCGTTTGGTAATTAAATATTTTATTATTTTACATTGAAGTCTTTCTCTTATTGTATTATTTATGTGTGACGGATGACAACATTCATACAGTTATAAGTAGTTGAAATTAATGAATGCAAGATTTCCCAATTCCAGCATAAATCGATCAGAGTTATCCATTTTTATTCTATTATTTATATTATTGTCTTAAATATCTATGCAAAATTCTTTCACGTTTTTGAATTTATTCCTTTTGAAAATGTTGAATTTAATTTCCTTGAAAGTTTTCAACCTCAGCCTTATCTCTTATAAACCTGTAGATGAACTCCTTAAATCTTTAGTAAATAGTCATGCTTGGCAACCTGTGCGGATACATTTTCGACCGGTAATTTGATCAGATCCGCGGTTGAGCCGGGCTCCGTCGCCCGGGACGCAGAAATAAAAAAAAAAATAGTTAAATATTCTTCTCTTGCTGATAGATTTTTTTTTTTTTACTCCTGTGGCAGTGGAGACTTCTGGGGTTATTGGCCGTCATTCGATGACGCCCCTTTGGTCTCACTTCACTACAGTTATCTACTAAAATTTGTCTGTTAATGGTTTTGTTTATTTGTCATATGCTATGTATATGTGTGCGAATTGCATTAAATTTTGATGAATGACATGTTAACCTACAAGATAGGGTGGTGCATGTGTGGCCAATATAAGAATTTTATGTTTGTTGATTTTAGATAACACCAAAATGTTATCCACCTGGGACATCGTTATTCTAACAATCACTTGATGAAGTATTTAAGAAAGGCTGCGAGCAAACTAGAACAAACCTTTTAAGTTAGTGAAAATTATTAACAATTATATTAGACAAAATTCCAACTACGTCATAATTTCCAACCATCCAGTTCATTTGAAAATCAATTTTACTTGCTTATTCTTTTTTTGGTGCTAGATGAGTGTTCTAATCGAAGTAAAAAGTAGAACTCTGAATGCTGATTTTCAAGATCTGTAGGCTTTCTTCGCTTGGGAGATTAACGCAATCCAATTTTTTTGTTTCTCACCCCTCCTTCGCACTTCGTCTGAGTTACTCTAAAAGTTTATAATTTGGCACACGCACTTTTTGCATATGTTTTCCATTTTTGAAATTAGCCAACTGACATGAAAAATAAACAGAGCTTTTGTGAAGTTAGGACAC